GAGGATCTCATTATGTAGCCCAGGTTGCCCTCAAACTTGTGATCCTCCTGCCTCAGCCTCCTGAATGGTGAGATTACAGGCTGGAGCCCCCACACCTGGCTATCTCATTCTTTAAAACAATTAAATAGAATCCTGTGGTATGGTTGTACCACAATTCATTTAACTGCTCTACGGAACTAGAGAACTATTTGCCGGCCTGGCCTGGAACCTCGATCCTCCTGATCTCAGCTTCCCGGGTAGCTAGTATTACAGGCATGAGCCACTGTACCCGGTAGTTTTTTAAATCTGATAGTCAGTGCCGCAGTGCACAGCCTTTTTGTATGCTTCTCGTGAACATGTGCAATTGTTTCTCTAGGCTGTGTACTTAAAAGTGGAACTGCTAGGTCATAAATTATTCACACTTAAAATTTTTATAGATGCTGCCAAATTTTCCCTCTAAAAAATCTGTATCAGTTTCCACTCCCACTGACATGAATGAAATTACCTCGTGTTAGTGTATATTATACCATCTTTTACTTTTGCAAATCTGATGGCTAAAAAATACTTCATTGTTTCCTTTTTCATTTCCCTAATCACTGGGGAAATGGAATGAACATCATTTCCTATGTTAATTGGCTATTTATATTTCTCTTTCTGTCAATCACCTGTTTATTTTTCATGGGATTATAGTGGCAAATAGGAAATATTTTGCCTTGGCTGTAGCTTTACCATTTTTATGGTATCTTTTGATATGTAAAATTATTCTTATTTTATTTTAGTTTTTCTTTTATTCGTATGTGCATACGTATTTTAATGAATATAAATCAGTCAGTATTTTCTTCTAAGACTTTTGGATTTTGTGTCCTGACTAGAAAAGCCTTCTCTACCCCCAAAGTTATAAAAATATTCCCTGACATTTTCTCCTTGTATTTTTAGAGTTTGTTTTTAGTCCAACAGGAATCTATTTTTGTGAATGGTGTTTATGTGAGAGGGTCTCATTTTATTTTTTCTTAAATGGATGGCCTATTTTCCCATCCTATTTCTTAAATAGTCGCTTTTCTCCTGCTGACTTACATATGCTATATTTCTGTGCAAATGTGAATCTGATCTTGGACTCGCTTCTTCTGTTCTATTGCTCTTTTTTGCTATTCTGAGGTCTTTACGTCCTTACCTCTCTCTCACCCAGTAACTGTGGCAATCTAACTTCTCCCCACATTTCCCCTGGAATTATTATTCCTAAATTTATTCATGACCTTCCTGTTGCCAAACACAATGGATATTTTCAGTTCTTATTTTCCTGGACACCATTTATCATTTCCTCCCATGTGTTGCATGATACAATGCTCCCTCCATTCTTCTATCAATAAAAATCATGATAATAAGAATGCCTTTTGCTTATTAGGCAGTTACTCTGTGCCAGGTGTGGCTTGAGCATTTCATGTGGTATACACGTCAAGTATGTTTCACCACCCTTGTCAGGTGATTTGAAACTGAGGGATAAGGTCCCTGGTCCATTAAATGCCAATGTGAGATTTGAACCTAGGCAGGTGTATCTCAGATCAAAGCCTAAGTTCATAGGCTCACCAGCCTGTCCTTCACAGTCTTGCCCTTGGGTTCCTTTTTCTCCAGCATTTTTTAAATGGTTGCCTTCTACAAGATCCAGCCATAGCTCTTGCCAGTTTAAGCATGTGCCCTGGATAAAACACGGTTTTCTGATGCCCTGTTTCATTGCAGCTACACTGACGTATCTGGGTTAAAATGACCCTGACAGCATGTAACAAACACGGCTTTGTTTTTTGTGGTTTTTTTTGAGACAGGGTCTCACAGTCCTGCCTCTGCCTCCCAAGTGTTAGGATTACAAGTATGTACCACCACAGCTGGCTCCCCAAAATGCTGCTCTTTTATTGTTGCTGGTTTTTTTCTTCTGGTAGTACTGGGGTTTAAACTCAGGATCTGGTCAGCTAGACACCTGAGCCATGCCCCCAGCCCTTTTTAGCTTTAGCTATTTTCCATATAGGGGCTCAGACTTTTTGCCCAGGCCAGCCTTCAGACTGTGATCCCCCTGCCTATAGCTTCCTGCATAGGTAGGACCACAGACATGTATTACCATGCCTGGCTTGTTTGTTGAGATGGGGTATTGTGAACTTTTTGCCTGGCCTGGCCTGGAACCATGATCCTCCCGATCTCTATCTCCCAAGTAGCTGGAATTATAGGCATGAACCACAGCCCCCATCTCCAAAGACTACTTTTTATTACAGATTCCTGCAGTCAACTCCTCCCCTGTTCCCTACCCCAATTCCAGGGGAGCTTTTCATTTCTACTGATTTGATTTTTAATAAGTATGCACCATATTTATAATCAGGAAAAATACTAACAATATTTGAAAATATAAAAGAAATAGATTAGCCTCCAAGGGGCAGAATCTGTTCAGCCCTCCAAAGCCATCATTATCAAGGTGTTGTCCAATGTTAGACAGGTTGAGTGTATGTAGCTGAAAGAACCGTGAGAAATTTAGTTGAGGAGTTCCTGAAAACTCTGTAGCTGAGATTAAGATTTAGCACTCAGACTGTGCCCTAACTACCCTGTGGCCTAACACTACTACCCGGTGGGGCAGGGTCCAGTGTATTCTCAATCAAACAAGATAATCACAGGAAGCAAGAGTGTGAAAAAGAGAAGTATTGCCAGCCTCTCCCAGCACTGGGGAGGCTGAGACAGGATGATCCCAAGTTAGAGGCCAGCCTGTGCTACAGACCCAGAGAGGGGGCTGGGGGCATGGTTCAAGTGGTAGTGTGCCTGCCTAGAAAGTCAGACATCCTAAGTTCAAATCCCAGTACTGCAAAAAAAAATTTTTTTGAAAACAGGAAGAGAGAGTGAGAGAAAGAGAGAGTGAGCTTCTTCTAGAATTTCAAATGAAAAACAGAATTTACATCATCTTGAGAAACTACATATATTAATTCCTTATAAGGACAGCACAGGAGTGTTTTCTCTCATATGCAGAATCTAGATCTGAAAAAAAAAAAAGGACATGGGGTTGGAGACATGGCTCAAGCAGTAGAGTGCCTGTTTTGCAACTAAAAAGCCCTGAGCTCAAACCCCAGTCCCACAAAAAATTGTGTTTTTCCAGATGAATCCATCACAGAAAAAAAAACTTATAAGTCTAATAAAGGTGAGGTTGGGGATAAGAAAGAGTAATAGGGGGTAAACATGATCGAAGTACACTGTATGTAAATACGAAAGTATCACAATGAAGCCCCTCACTTTGTACAACTAACATATATTAATAAAATAATTTTTAAAAAACACAACAAAAAACAGGGAGAGGAGTATGGCTGCTGTAGCTTTAAGAGGAAAATAAAAGAATTTTGGATACAGTTCATCTAAGAAGCAAGAGAATTCTCAAAGGATGAGCATACGTTTTGCTCAAAATGATGACTGACCTTTTCTGAGACAGGCACGTGGTAAACACGTGACTTTTGGTTCAATGCAGAGGGTGTCAACCCACATCCTCTCCCCAACCCCAGCTCCCCTCACATCTTCATCACTGAGCCTCGCCCCACCCCTCGCTCACACACATCCTTAAAACCCCACAGTCTTGTCCGGCTCTCCTCTTAACAACTCTCAGACATCTTTTCCTCTGCCTCCTGACTTACCATCCTAATGTTTTTTAGTTCAGCGTCCTTCTCTGATTCCTGGGCATTCTTACATGGTTGGAATATATCACCTATACCTGGTTAACCCAAATCTGTATTTCCAGCCTAGACCCTCTTCAGACCTCTGGCTCTGTATAGTCTACTAGCTTCCCTGAAGGTCATCCTATACCTGCATTTTCCACAGACAGCTCAAAGTCAACATGCCCACAACAGACCTTATTATCTTAAACCTGGTTCTCTTATATTCCCTCCCTTATGGACAAATGGCCACCACCATTTGTCCAGTTGCCAAAGCTAGAAATTTAGGCCCCATTCTAGATTCTTCTTTTTTCTTTTGCCTTCACAACCCCAAACAAGGAAATCTACCAACTCCTGCTGGTTTTATCTCAGCCCTATTTTACCTCTTTCTTCAATCTAATTGGTCCAATAATTAGGTTGGTCTACTTGCTTATCTAGTATATCTCCATACTACCCCAAAGGACTGTTTTCAAATGTCAAACTACATTATCCTACTTTGTAAAACCTTTCAATAGCTCCAAATTTGGACATTCTATAAATCTTTCCAGATATCACATCGATCTCTGCAGGCTTGCCTCCCCTTATGTTCCGCCCCCCACCCCCAGTTTACTTCAACTGCTATCTCCAGAGCAGGTCTAGATTTTGTGAGGGTTTGTACAATTCAAAGGACCCTCCAGAAAACTAATACAACCTTATGACTACAACTTAGTTTCATGAAACTTAAGTTTCATTTGCTTCCCAGTAACTCTGCCTGTCTAGCCAAACAGAGCAAGCTGCAGTTCCCTAGAACATACCAGAATGTTCTGCACAACTTTGCCTTTGTACAAGCAGTTACCTCTTCCTAACTGCCCTCTCTCCCATTCCTTGTTAGTCTGGCAATGCAATTCATCCTTCAAGAGTCCGCTCAGAGGGCATGTTCTCTGTGAAGGCTTCCCTGACCTCCCTGCATGGAAGTGACTGTTCTCACCCTTGTAGTCTCATTGCAACTTGTCCTTTACCCCTTCGTACCCTGTCCTTTACAGAACATACCACTCTGTATGGAAATTATTTGCTTAAAATCCATCTGAGTGCCTCAAGGGCAGAGACTAAGTTGTTCCTTTTTAAGATTGTCAGAGCACAGCAGGATCTGGCACAAGGTAGGAGCCCTAGAAGTATTTGCTGAGTTGAACCCCACCCGTGTGTACTGGAAAAACACCTTCTTTGGGCAGTGTATAGAGTAGAACAAGTTGCTGTAGATAGGGGTTCTGGATGAGGGACCTGCTACCTGTCCACACCATTCTGGGAAGACAGGCTAGGCCCCAGCATACATGGTAATCTCCTCCCTGCAGATTCCCATCCCACTGCCTTCCTTACCTGTCTTCCTTGTTGATCTGGTCCCCAAAACCCACTGTGCTAACAATTGTGAGCTTCAGTCCCACATTGCTCTCTTGAAGGTCATACGTATTGGAACGGAGCTGGACACCTGGCTGCGTGTGGGTGGCTGGCTCCCCCTCAAACTTGGTGTTGAAGAGGGTATCCATGAGGGTAGACTTGCCCAAACCCGTCTCTCCTGAAAAACAAAAGGACAAGTTAGGGTCCATTCACATAGTGAGACAGGTAAACATGGGAAAATGTAGGGGATAAGACACTAAGTAAAAAGCATATAGAGAACATGGATTGTATGATCTCAGTTAAATGAAAAAGACCAGAAGGAACAAGTGCACCAATTTAGCAACAGCATTCACCTCATAGTATTAGAATTGGGGTAATTTCCATTTTTATTCTTCAGATTTTTTCTGTTATTTGAAACAGAAGTGCATACCTTGAGTATGCATTGCTTTTAGAGGCAGAAAAAGAAATTCTGTTATGGGCATGGATGAAGAGGTATAGCTATACCTAGAAAAAGACTGGAAGGAAGTATAATATACTTGTATGTCTCTGAGTAGTGGGATTGTGTGTACATTTCATTTCTTTCTTTATACTTCTCTGTATTTTCCGGGTTTTCGAAGTGGAACCTTAGAGTTTTTGTAATAAATATTAAAGGGTTATTTTAATTTTTTTTAAAAAGGGGGGCAGTGATCCCTTGTCATATACGCTCTCCTCCCAGCCCTCACGTCACCTCCCTGTGAGGCCCAAACAAGACTCTACTCCATTGGCGTCCTGATGTGTCTTCTGGTGGGAAGACTGTTTTCTCCTCCCAGCCTGGTTGAGCTTTCAATAAGACAATTTTTAGCTAGTGGGGAGGAAACTTAACAGGTCACAAATTATTCTTCTCCTTAAATTTCAAATAAACTAGCCATTTATTTGTTTAATAGACTGCAGGACACTAATAAATCAAACCACTAGAATTTGAAAAGTCTTCAGTTTCACACTAAGGCCATGCATGAGGGAAGGGCTGGGGCTGTCTGGTGAAGGTTTGGGGAGGTTGCTCCTGGGAGACCAGGGGATATCAAGCCACAACCTGGAGCCGCTTAGTGAATAAGACATCACAAGTCATAATCTGAAGGGTAGTGGCATGGGAGTTAGGCAAGAATCTGATGTGAAGCCACAAGCTGCAGCTAGGCACTAAAAATACTTAGAATACCCATGGATTCAGAATGTATTTGGCCCCCCCACCTTTCCCACCCACCCCAAGTGATTCAGCAATAGCAGGAATAAAAGTCAGTAGTTAATAATGACTCTGGACTGCCCTTTGAAAATCTAACACTACCTTACATCTTTTTTCTTTCTACTACCCTCCCCAACCTGGGACTGGGAGAGTGAACCTTGCTTTCTCTTCACAGTCAGGAGTGGTTTGCAATGGGCAAATCCTGGCCTGAGAAATCTCCCCTTGGGACCAACAGCACACATTTGTAAGGCGGTGCAGGGCTTGGGCTAGAGCTGCTTGACTAGAAACCAAAAATGTTCCATCTTTCTCCACCCTCTGGGCGTGTCTAGCTTTGCATCTTCTAAGCCTCTTTTATCCTGAATAATGAGCTATGAAAACAGGAGGTGCTTTTAAAAATATCTGCCTATGATGAGAGCTTTCTAGGGTGGAGAGAGGGGAGAGATACAGGGAGGGAGGGAGGAAGGGAGAGAGAGAGGGAGAGAGAGAACAAGGAGAACATTCAATTGAGCCTGGCTACCAGGCCCCTTGCCCAATTTCATAGTCAGGTCTGACTAACGTGGTGTATTGCCAGGGAGTACGGAAATGATTCTTCATACAGATCAGGTTCCCAGCCAGGGTCTGCTATATCCATTAGCAGCAAAAACTCTCCAAGAGGAGGATTCGTCCAGCCTGAAAGGAACAGGAAATATTTGGGTCCCAAGGAAAATGTGATGAGGTGGGGTCTTTGACAGACTTGAGCAAGCAGTGGAATGTATCACCCACCACTCCACCTAAGGTAGGGGTACAGCTCAACTGTAAATGGAGCCAGCACCTCTGATGTGGGAACACAGGGGTGGCTGCCTTGCTGTAACTCACTTCCCCTCTAAGCTCTGAGTTTCAAGGTACATTTTAGCCAGTCTTTGTCTATGTCTAACGGATTTTCCATGTATGTCCCCACCCACCCCCCTTCTGTCACGTGAGTTCCTTACTGAATGCTCTGCAGCTCCTAGAGAGTGGTGGGCCCCATCTCCCCAGCACCCAGAGTGCCTCATCCTAGGAATCCTCAGAGAGAATACGCACTGCGGAGAGTACCCAGCCAAGCTTCACATGGAAGGCCTCAGGACTAGCACTGCAGAGCTGGGACCCACCCTGTTTGCACAGCTGGAGAAGTGGGGGCTGGGCAGGCAGGGCAGGGCAAGTAGCAGGGATGAACAACAGGGAAAATGCCCAGATGCCTGCCAGCACAGAAGGGCTATGGAAATGAGATGCCAGATAATGAAGGTCTGGAAGACAAGAACTCGGATGTCTAGGGAGTGGGAATAAATGCAGTATTAGAAGAGGGCAGAAAATCAAGACAGCTCTTCCTATGGTTATCCAGTGGTCCCATTCCCAGTTGCAATCACTGTGGAACCCAGGGGTGGAGGGAGGCTCTCTCTCAATGGCTGGCACAGACTCAGCCTGAAACTGGGATGTGGTCAGCTTCCATGGCTGCCCTGGGTGCAGTATTGAGGGTGGGGCACACATGACCTCACTAGGATCAAGTCAGCAGATTGCACGCCCCTACAGGAAGGTGGCAACTTGGCAATTAGATTCCAGCAACAAACCTGAGGAGTCCCGCAGGGTCAATTTCCCTCTGTCTCCTCCTCCCCAACCCTCCCAGAGCATGTCATAGTGGACAGCAGGGTTTCTTAACCCTTTATAACTCATGCTCCACCATCCGAGAGGATTTCCTGTCACTTAGCTTAATGTAGACAGTATTCTGGAAACATTTAAAGGTAAAGCTATATACTTTACAAAATATGCTTTTTCAAACTATAGTCCCTGAGACAGTCTGATGTTGACCTCTCCAGCCTGGATTAAAAACCAGTGTAAGCCGGGAGCCAGTGGCTCATGCCTGTAATCCTAGCTAGTCAGGAAGCAGAGATCAGGAGGATCGCGGTTCAAAGTAATCCCAGGCAAATAGTTCAGGAGACCCTATCTCGAAAAACCCTTCACAAAAAAGGGCTGGTGGAGTGGCTCAAGGTGTAGGCCCCGAGTTCAAACCCCAGTACCACAAAAAAAAAACAATAATAATAACCAGTGTAAGATAGCCAGGCACAGTGGCTCAATACCTGTGATCTTAGCTTAGGTAGGAGGACCACAGTCTGAAGCCATCCTGGGCAAAAAGCACAAAGCCCTATCTGAAAAATAACTAAAGCAACAAAGGGCTAGAGTGTGGTTCAAGTGGTAGAGCACCCGCCTAGCAAGTCCAAGGCCTTGAGTTCAAACCCCAACACCACCACCCGATAAAAAAACAACACTGTAATAAAGAAAAGCCTTAGCTCTTTTCCTCAGTTGCTGTTAATACCTGCATTACCTGGCACCTGTGCAATTAAGTCCTTGCAAATTATGAAATGAAGAGTACTAGCCAGGTCACCACTACATTACTGGGTGACCTGAGTCACTGGCTCCCAGTCTCTTTTCCCATAAAAGGAGAAGGTTGGAGTGATAATAATAGTGATTGTTTATAGTGCAGTTACTCTGTGCCAAGCACTTCTGGGAATAAATACACACATATTTTTTTTCTTTCTTTTTTGCAGTGCTGGGGATGGAACCCAGGGCCTCATGCATGTGAGGCAAGTGCTGCATCACTGAGCTACACCTCAGCCTGACTCTAGGTACTACAATTTGTCCTCGATTTAGAGCTAGGTTACTAAGCCACTCATTAGCTATGTGAATTTTCGTAGTTCCTTGACCTCTCCGCACCATATTTTCCTCATCTATACAATGTAAAGGAAGTAACAGTCCAAGTAAGCATTTGCAGCTAGGCAGGCTTAATTCTGGAGCCCATGCATTAACCAATATGTGCTATTGAGGCCCTGAGGCATGATGTATTTGTTCATTTAGTCATTCATCTAATAGGAGCCAGACATATAATAAGTTGCTAAGGGCACAGCAATGAACAAGATAGCCACAATCTCTGTTCTAACAGAGCTAAAATCTCTTTCAGCTTTGGTATTTTCCTTTATTTATTTACTTTTGCAGTGCTGGGGATGGAACCCAGGGCCTCAGTACATTTCAGGCAAGTGCTCTATCACTGACCTATACCCCCAGCCCTTCTTTTAGCTTTGAATGTTGGAATAAACCAAGAGAAATGTCTGAGCTCAATAGAGAGGTGTCCAAAAGGAAATGCTCCAGGAACTCCAGTTGGCTGAGGGAGCCTTTGGACAGGGACAAGGTCATGCCTGGTTCTGTGACCTTCCCTTTTCTCCTTCCTGATCTTGCAGAGGCCTGGCAGGCTATGACGTGCTTCAGCCAGCTGGTCTGCTTCCTGCATCTCTTCCCAAGCCCAGGTGAAGTGACGTCATGTTGGTAGCTTAAAATCAGCTATGGTGGGAGTAATGACATTACGGAAATTAGTGGATACTACAAACCACAGCAAGTTTTCTCCTGTGATGCCTTGTTAGACACTGACCACTGCTGGCAAGCTGTCTTAGGTGAGCAGCTGCCTTTCCCAGAGACAGAAGAATGAAACAATTGCTTCCTGACCTTGATAGAATGCTAACTGCCCTTTTCCCCTGGCTCCTGTAGTATGCCTCAATCCTGCTTCTTGTGTGTTTTCCAAGTTCAACAGAGCCCAGTTGAGCCTGGAATTCTGAGCAGCTTCAAAGTAAATATTATCATTATGACCCTCTGTGCTCCTCAGAGCCATGACTGATGCTGGCACATTTGAATGGACTGGTCTCTTTGAGGCTCTTTCCCAGAAGTGCAAAGCGATGGGCCCCAGCACATTTGTACTGTTGGCTGTAGTGGTTCCTCTGAGGCCTCCTGTGCCACATCTACAGTCACAGGATCTTCAAAATCTCCAAAATTAAGGGACTAGATATGATTTTTGATAAGGGGAAGGTAACTTCACTCCACTCGGTAATTATCATCATCTCCAGAGAATCTATTGAACAGGAGTCACAATATGGCTATGCTCATGTGCAATAATAATAATTGTAAGTAACACTTACTGGTATCCTTCAATAAATTAGGCTCAACATTCATACAAATTCTCTCCCTTTCTCTCAACAAACGTGCACACGTACATACATATGCACCTATGTACGCAGGATACTTGCTCTGCAGAGTACAGGCCTAAGAACAGCAGCCCAGCATCAAGATAAACAATAATGTGCAAAAGTATCCTAGATCTCAGTTAATAATCAAAGACAACACTACCATAATTTTACACTGAAAATACTTGGACCAAACAGAACCACTTTATAACAGTTGTTAAACCACAGTCTCACACAGGCAGTAGGCAAGAAAATATGGTCACTGAAAGTCCTGCGAGAGGAAAAATCACCTTCAACGGTCAAGCTATGCACTCTTGGCCAAGTCAGTGAGTGACAAGGCTCAGCGCTATGACTAGGCTGAGATTGCAGTCTCAGAGCCACTTTAAGCTGCTTGTGACCTTGGCCCAAGTTGTGGGTTTTCTGAGCAATGACAGGGTTATGAGCACAGAAAGAGTAGGATCAGGGATGTGGAATGAAATTAACCCAGTGCAAGCTGGTCTATCTAATAGTTCCACCTGCAGATCTAAGGGAGGAACTACTGGGGCAGCCATTTCCTGAAACTTGACAAGGGGTGGGGGAGAGGCAGGAGTCTTCTTTGTTCTCCATTTTTGGAGAGACTATCCTGGCCCTCAAGCGATTCCATCTCAGCAGTTGAGCTGGACAATGCCTGGGTGGGAAGTAGAAGACAGAGGGTTACTATTTCTCCAATCACTTTGGTTTGGTCTCCGCTGTCTCTTCCTTTGGCCCCAGGGGTGCCTGTGACTCACGTGTCAAATTTCCCTACACTTCTGCCATTGAAGAGCACTTCTGATTCCCATGGCCTCTCCCCTAAAGCTTTATGAGCCCACCCAAGTGCACTTGGTTGAAAGGTTGCTTAGAGTGGGTTTACCATTTCACTTCTCATCTCAACTTCAGCACAGGTCATATGGAGCTCTGGGAGGAATGCCAAGGGAATCCAGTATGTTTGTGCTGGAAAATTTTAGCAATCAAATATTATGCAAAAGAAGTTGGCCATCAATCAAAGGTTTTGTTTTTGTTTTTGTTTTTTGCAGTACTGGGGCTTGAACTCAGGGCCTATGCCTCAAGCCACTCCACCAGCCCTTTTTTGGGTTTTTTCAAGGTAGGGTCTCGTGAACTATTTGCCCAGGTTGGCTTTGAACTTCGATCCTCCTAATCTCTGCCTCCTGAGTAGCTAAGATTACAGATGTGAGCCACAGGCACCCAGCGGAGCTCTTATTAAACAGAGATTTGGTGGTGCTAATACTGGACGTGATGGCATTTGCTCTTGATGTCAATCATTCTGACTTGTATTTATTTTGTTTCCCTGTCCTAATAGCACCTAAACATAACTGTGAGTTAGATTTTTAGCATTCAAAAAGTTGACAGGCTTGATCTGGACTCTTAAGGCCCCAGATGTGTCATTCTGTGAAGTCCATGTTTTCATCTCATAGGTTCCAAAGCTGATACATGGGAATCAGTCGTTTAGCTAGTGAGTGAGTGTAGCAGACTGCCCGCTATCCATATCTAGAAGTGGCTTTGTTCTCTACTTGTCCTTGAGTGTGCAGTAATTCTCTTACAGAAAATGACCTGGAAAAGAGTGCTGGGCACAAAGCAGAAAAAAAAAGCTCAAAAACTGCATGCCCTTAGTGAGAAAGAATTTTTGAATACATTAAATGATAAAATATCTAAGTCAGTGGTGGTTCAGATACACCACATGAACGAGTGCCCCATACACTCTATACAAAAATAAGAAAAGGCAATTAGCCAAAGTGTTTGAGTGTTCCAGCCTGTGTGAAAACTGACTTTATTATGGTATTTATACAATCATTAAGGTTCAGAAGGAGGTCACTGAAAATACTCAGGTTAGCTTTCCTGCACTGTGGGGCAAAAATTATATGCTATGATTGTGTTTGCAAATTTTGGATTTTTAAGGTCTAAGGAGACATTCTTAAAGAATTTCACACAAGGAACTGTTGTTCTTTGTGTTTGTTTGATTGCTGCTCAATGGTTTCCAACATGCTCCGTGTTCTCAAGAGATCTGGAGAGGCAGTGGGAGGGACAAGGGGTCAGCCAGGCTTGGGTCCTTGTGATGGCCCTACCACTTTTTCTGTATTGCCTCAGGTAAATCCCTTATCTTCTCCAGGTCTCTGGGTTTCCATGAGGATGAACACTACTTGCTCTGCTCATGTTGCAGACTAAGGACCAAAAGAGCTAATGTGAGAAACTGGTCAAGAAAATAATGAGCAGCTCCTATGTGGCTACCTCATTCATTCATTTCTCAAACACTGAACAGCTGAGGCAGGAGGATTATGCATTCAAGGCCAGCCTGGGCTACATAACAAGCCCTGTCTCCAAAAACAAAATGAAACAACAGCAAAAAGATGTACTCCCACAGTTGGGATTAAAGGTCTAGGCAGAGATACAGGTAAGGGGAATAGGCCTGTGCACACGGCTGTGTGAACCTTGCACTATACCAAGCATAGAGGAGCTGCAGAGGGAAGCAACAGACCCAAGCTATTACTCATAGCTAGTGGGCAGGCATCTTTCTTTCTTTCTTCAGCCATCACTTCCCTCCCAATTCTGCCCTGACTCCTGTCTTCTGCAGTCAAAATGAACTTGACAGCAGTAACTAAGCCAGCCAGTCCCCTTTATAGAAGTTTCCATTGGGTTTCACAAAGCTCTGTTTCCCCCAATGTATGGTCCCAAATTCTGGTTCAGCCAAGGCAAAAAGTAATTATGGGTAGCTGTTTACAAAAATAAGCAGAGGGGTAAGTGAAGAGGGGGACTGCTCTTGCAACTAGATCCTAATGACATGCAATTTAACCTAATTACCTGCAAAGCCACATCCAGCCATGAAGGATCCATATTCTGTAATAGAATTTCCTGCTATGGAAATACTCACCCACGCACAGGATGTTGAAGCAGAAGCCCTGGCTGACTGACTTATTCACCAGCTGGTCAGGCAAGCTGTCAAACCCCACATGTCCAGCCAGGGGAACAGTTCGGCAACCTTCACCCTAATTGGGAGGGGGAAAAATGAAAATGTGGCTAAAAGCAACCTGCAATCAATTCTCCATCCAAATGTTCCATGCTGAGAAGTAACACCCACCCAGGCCAAATGTCATGTCTTCCCTCAACTACTCCCTGCTTCAAAGCTCAGAAATCATGGATTTTTGGTTATGGGCACCCAGTAGGCTCAATAATGAACATCACTATAGTTCCAGACAGCGCAAACTATAGAGGCGGCTTATGGGGCAGGAGGGCGGAGTCTGTGAAGGAGAACGCTGGTACTGCATGTGCCCAGACTTGGATGAAATCTTCACTCAATCACTTTCGAGTTGGGTAACATCTCTGAGACTCAGTTTCCTTCCATGCCTGTCGATATGACCTATCTTAAAGGTGAGCTGGAAACTCAAATCTGCTAATTATACATGTAAAGAACTTAGTACATACATAAGTGTTCAATAAATAATCTAAAAACCTTAAAAAGTAGTGAATGGCCAGGCGCTGGTGGCTCACTTATAATCCTAGTGACTGAGGAGGCTGAGATCAGGAGGATTGAGGTTTGAGGCCAGCCCAGGCAAACATTTTGAGAGACACCATCTCTAAAATAATCAGAGCAAAACAGATTGGAGGTATGGCTCAAGGGGTAGAGCACCTGCTTTGCAAGTACGAAGTCCTGACTTCAAACCCCAGTCACCCCTGCCACCCCATAAAAAAACCACTGAATGCTCCAGACGCACACACACACACACACACTTTGGGGCTCTACAAAGGTGCCAAAGCATAGAGGTTAAGAGCACAGGCTTTGAAATCAGGCAAGTCTGAGTCAGAGCTCCACCTCTGCCAAACTCCTGGGCGTGTGACATCTGACAAGTTACCTAACTTCTCAGTTTCCCCATCTTAAAAACAGGAACTAGTAGTGAGTGGATTTTATAGGATGATGCTCCTCAGGCAAGTGGCACAGTGTGGAACGCATTCAGTCAACAGTAGCTGCTCTTATCATTGCACTTGGACCCAGGACTGACCCGGAATGCCATGGAACACTGTGGCTTCCCTTAGCTGGAGGGAGCTGCCTCTAGGCTTCTTCTGGTTCCCTTGACTCCACAGGGGTCAGCCAAGCCACTCCCAGCCCTGGAAAGCAGAGGGTCTCTGCTTTGCCTGCAAGGTCCAAAGCTTCATATGGTTAATGGTTTTACAAAACAGGGAGAACTTCAAACAAGGGCAGGCTTCCAAAGAGCCAGGGAGAAGGACACAAAGGGCCTGCATGTACTCAAGAAATGTGCCAACTACTAACTGTCATGGTGTAGGGAGGGGGAGGCAAGATGGAGCCAGTTGAGCTGGACAAGAACAGTGGGCTTTGGAAGGAGTTTCTGCTGGGTGGGGCAGCACCAAGATTTCCATAAGCAGAAAGATGGCAAGACTAATCCAGAAGGGCACGGTTAGTGCCAGGAGGCCTGCACCTGCATCCCTGCAGTTCTTACGCAGCCTAAACCTGCTATAAACTTGGTGCACAATAAGAGTACTTTCACACAAAGAGGAATGGGCTGCAATGGTGGAGGAGCCTATCAGCAGTCACCGTCTTCAAAACTGGCTCCAGACAGCACCTTCACTCAGCTGGGAATCCCACTCCCATTGGTGTTGTCGGATCTTCCAAGAGCTAGTGCTGGTGACTGCCATATGGCAAGTCCATTACCCTCACACATCTCACCCCACACACTCCCAAGAGACCATACTTAACAGATGACCATATGTCATCAGGTAGGTTGGCGAGGGCACCTAAAGGCAACTGAGTTTCATGAAGGACTCATATCACTAGGGACTTTGTTCTACACTCACCCTTTTTTGCTCCCCCTTCCTCTTCCCTTCCTTCTTTTTTATTAAAGTAACAATAAGATGCAAGTTTCTTACTGTTGGTTCCTGGTCCTCAACACTGCAGGGAGAAGGCACTTAAGAGCCAACATGCTTTCTCCATGGAGCCTCCTACATAGCAGGCCTCAGAGTTGAGGTTTCCTAAGCCATATTTTATCATGGCTGGCTGCCTCTTCCTGTCTCCAAATTCAGCACCATGATACTTCAAGACCCCAAAGCTTCTGTTCCAAGTGGCAAAAGGAGCAGAAAGGAATTCTCAAACTAAAGACAGTGAAGGACAGTGGGGAGAGCAACTCACTGTAAAGACTTCCTTTGGGAGGGGGGGAGAGGGTGGGGGCGGGGGCAGGGGGAGAAATGACCCAAACAATGTATGCACATGTGAATAAATAAATAAATAAAAGACTTCCTTCATGGTCAAAAGCTTACCACGCCCCTCTCATGTGCCCACCATCGGACCCTGCCTAGCACAGCGGCAAACAGAGCCCTGAGGAGCCGATGAAGAAGATGCACTGTGACAATAAATACCGGTTACAATGAACTGACCTGACTTAAGACTCAAAAGGAAGGAACCAGCTGGACATGATGGCACACACCTGTAATCACAGCCCTTGGGAGGTGGAGGCAGAAGGATCTTGAGTTCAAGGCTAGCCTTGGCTACATAGAGAATTCCAAACCAGTCAGGACAACAAAGCAAGACCTTGTTTGAAAAAAAGTAGGAGACTGGGGGCGTGGTTCAAGTGGTAGAGCACCAACCTAGCAAGCACAAGGTCCTGAGTTCAAACCCAAGTACCACCAGAAAAAAAAGGAAGGAAGGCAATGGGGCTGGAGTATAGCTCAGTGGCAGAGTGTGTGCTCAGCATATGCGAGGCCCTGAGTTCCAGCACCACAAGAAAAGGGAAGGAACAAATTTGAGAGTTGTCCTAAACAAGGGATGAGATTCAATGAGTGGGCAGAGAGAACGAGAGGCAATCAAAGCTTGAATTGATAGCTCAGTGGATAGAAAGGGGGAAGCTAGGAAACAGAGCTTGCTTAGGGGGGTGTTGAGGAGTCTTGTTTTGAACAAGCTGTTACTCAAAAATTACTTCTAACAGGTTTTGTATTTTATAAAACTAGTCAATGTTCATAGCAGAAATTTTAGAACATAAAAAAATTATAAAGAAAGTAAAAAGCCAGGCAATGGTGGCTCACACCTGCAATCCTAGCTACTCAGGAGGCAGAGATCAGGAGGATCGAGGTTTAAAGCCAGCTCGGGCAAATAGTTTGCAAGACCCTAACCTCAAAAATACCCAACACAAAAAAAAGGGCTGGTGGAGTGGCTCAAGTGGTAGAGCACCTGCCTAGCAACAGTGAGACCCTGAGTTCAAACCCCAGTACCACCAAAAAAAAATAACTGTCCAGAGATAATTACTTAATATTTTTATGTGTTTCCTTCCCATCCATACACCTTTAACAAAATGATACTCTATCTTTCTTTTCATAACCGACACTTAATATAGTATAGATGCTTTCTTGACTAAGTATATTTGTGAATCATTATTTTTATTGGCCATATAGCACTCCAATGCGGGAATTTGCCATTTTTTTTTATGGGACTGGGGTTTGAACTCAGGGCTTCACGCTTGCAAAGCAGGCACTCTACTGCTTGAGCCACACCTCCAGTCTATTTTGCTCTGGTTATTTTGGAGATGTGGGTCTTGTGAAGTATTTGCCCTGGCTTTCCTCGAACCGTGATCCTCCTGATCTCAGCTTCTCAAGTAGCTAGGATTACAGGTGTGAGCCACCGGCAACCCACCTGCCATGCCCTCTACTGCATGTCCTCTACTACGGGGCATTTAGTGTGTCTGCAAGTTTTCAAAATAATAAACAACAATTCTTGTTCTTACAAGTTTGTATATACCTCTGATTATTTCCTAGAACTGAAGCCTACTAGATCAAAGGGTATACACATTTTAAAGACTTTGGGGCAGGCATGGTGGTGCATGCCTGGGATCTCAGCACTCAGGAGGCTAAAGCTGGAGGATCTCAAGTTCCAAGCTATCCTGAGCAACAAAGTGAGACCCTGTCTCAACTTCTCCCACCCCATAAAAAGACTTTGGGGGCCGTAGGTGTTGCTCGAGTGGTAGAGTGCCTGCCTAGCAAGCACAAAGCCCTGAGTTCAAACCCCAGTACCATACACACATACAAAAAAAAAAGACTTTGGTACACACTGACACATCATTCATGTCATTCAACCGAAGATAGTACAAATTTATGTTTCCATCACTAATACATGTGTGTTTGCCCACAAACACTGACTTTCATAGGGTTTTTACCCATTGTGAATTCAACCATTGAAAAATAGCATCACATTGTTTAATTTGCATTTTATTAGTTGAACATACACATTGTTCAACTGTATATGTGTACAGTATACATATATGGGAATTAGTGTATGTATATGTGAATTACCTAGCTATAGTTTTGCCAATTTAAAAAAAAAGTGTGTATCTTTTCTCATGAATTTGTAAAACACATTTTACATATTAAGGAAAATAAGATTGCTTTGATTTTATGGTGAGCTATTTAAGAGAAGAAATCCAATAAGTAGTTAGCAATATGGGATTGTAGGCTTAGAGAGAATTTAGGCCTGAGACACAAACTTAAGAGTAAGAGATATGAAATTACATGTGCTCTCCAGGATATGTACAGGGAGAAAAGAGCTAGAGCCTGAAGAAAGGAAACACCCATGAATGAGGAATGGGAAGATGAAGAGAATTCTGCCAAGAAGAGGAAATAATCAGAAAAGAAACGAGCCAATAGTTTTCTGTCACCAGAAGTGAAAGGGAAAGTCAGGAAGAATTACAGAGAATTGGCCATTGGTTTGGACTTGCCAAAGGTCACTGGTGACTTTGAGACTCCTTATTTCTTCTGTATCTTTAACCCAGTGTCTAATCCACCTAAATTACCTAAAGAGTCTGGGAGTATGGGACGTGGTACCTGGTTAATGTGTTTCTCTTGCTACTCAAGATTTAAGCAGCAAACTTTTTGTCTCAGTCCCTGTTGTTAAGAAAACTACAAAAACATATTTGTATAGTTCCTGATTTAGGAAATCCTGTCTAGCTAGCACCTTGTACTCTTGCTTTGATGAATCTTATGCTGAGGTCAT